ATTTCTTATCCACTTCAGTGTATTTCTCTTTTCTTTTATAAAATGTTTGTTTCTTCTCAAAAAACAACAGCATGAATGAAAGAAAACTTTCTAACCTTAAACAATCCATGCTGAACATCAAAGGCTGCCCGAGTAATGTTCTCCATGAAGTCTTTGAAAATCCCGCCACCATCAATTCCACCCTCCTCAACCCCAAATTCATTTACAAACGTTACACGAATCTGCAAATAGACAGGTCAAGGTGGTAAGGCGGTTATTGTGGTATTGGATAAGAGAGGAGAGGATAAGTGCTTGCAAAAAAATAGGCGGACAATCACTTCTCCGAAAATTCAGTGCCTATTTGACCCCAAAAAGCAATCAGCAAAACATTACAAAGTAACTATTTTTGGTTTGGTAGCAACCATAGCATTCATAGTATTGTCAAACACACTCCCAACCACAACCTTCATCAATTGAATGTATACAAACAAAAACATATGCATTACCGGTCCCCGAAGATCATCTTCAGACAGCGCACTCATTTGGTCATAAGCATCTTCCAAGATACGATCCCTCCGTATTCTGAATCGGTTTCTGGTAAATACAGAATTAGACTCATGTCTTTGTCTAGCTGCTGCCAACTGTGACTGACAAAGTGGTTTGAATAAACTGATTAATTTTTTTTCAACATGATAAGACTTAAGCGCATAAAGATCGGCATATCGTTTTTCCTCTAACAACTTAAATACTTACAGCGAATATTTTAACTCTGCTTGGGAGCAGCCTCTCCATAAATGGGGGTAAGGCTAGCCGACATTCACCTCTCCCAGACCCTGCGTAAAGCGGGAGCCTTGTGCACTGGGTACGACCTTTTTTTGTGAATGGTACCAGGAAGGGAGCGTGCTTCATGATCATTTGCTCGGGTATTTTCTATTATGGCCTGAAAAATAAAGACATTAAAACCAGTGCTAGCAAGATCTTGGTCCTAGGAAATGTTTACCTGTGTAATAAAGAACTCATTGACACCATCAGCATGAAAGTCACTGGGGGATGTGAATTCTCGTCTATTGTTCCAATCTTGCAACTGCACACAACAAATTGGAAAAACAAAATGTGTAAGATTTCCTGTTCATTGTATGGGGGGGGGGCATATCTCTACAAAGAGAACCAAAAATACACAACCTGCAAAGGGAGAGGGCAAACACAAAATGCACAACAAGAAGGGTATATCCTTTTCCAAAGAAAACAGACGCAACACATATAGCTTGTTAATACCTGGGAGAGGAGTTCAGAAGCTACAATGCTAACTCTATGTTGAATCAACTCCACAGGGTGCTTCTTAGAAGAGGTGGTTGTGACAGGTTTCGAAGAATTACTGGGAGCCGTAGGATTCACCCAAAGAAGTTGCCATAGGGCCTGCAGAAGAAAGAAAGTCCAGATAATGCATCTATTCATTTGAAATTACAGAGTAAACATCACAAATCAACACTACATGCAGAATTAGCAATCGATACAGTTTTGTACATCTTGTTTGTCATACACAGGAAACAACTGATTAGTCTTACAGACTACATTTAACCAAAGGACAACCACATGTCATTTCTACAATGAACATCATTATTTTGATAATTTTACTACAGAATTACCTGTCTGAGTATGATAACTAGGTATCTGATATCCTTCAATGATAGTGGCTTCTCCTGCTCATAGAACTCCTCATTATCAACTACTGTAAGCATGTGCCTGATCCATAACAAAAGGGAAACAGACGAATCACAGGTAATCCCACCTCAAGCTGCTACACAATACTCTAGGATCAACCCAGAATACATAAAACTAACTTCACACCACTAAAATATATATACACAAGATCCAAGCAAAACCATTACTTGTACACAGGACAGAATACAGCCAAAGCTAATAGCCAGCCAGGTGCATCTCCGGGCAGCAGATATGCCAACTGCTCAGACACTGACTGCCATTTCTGGTTTTCATGGCACCGTTTCATAAAATTCCAAAGCACCGGAACAAGTTCCGTTCTATAAGCTAGTATGGTCATGATTCCCTCCAGAGGTAAGGTGTTTAAACTAACATGTAGAAAAGCACAAGCCGCACCAACAGCTGACACCTCTTTATCGTCCGGTCTGTGGTGCAAGCCACTGGAAAGTGAAATCCCTCCAAACAAAACATTTGTCTGCTCAAAGCATTAAAACAACAACTCTTGGTTAGAGTTTAGCGGTAAAGACCAATTTGCTTAACATAATTGTACTTGCATGGAAAATAGAAGTACATAATATCAAGATGGCTTACTAATTGCAGAAGAAAGCGCGGATCTATCACTTGTACATATATATAATGTATATAATGTATGCATGTGTATGAGTGAGCACAACGAGAAACTTTACATACATATGAGATTAAATTATGCATTGTCAAAAACCTATCACTTGTACTAAGTTAATCTTCCAATTTTCACAATAGTAGATCTGTTGCTAAAATTGAACATAAGATCTCCCTGATTTTTTAGCACATAAATTTATGCAACAACTTGAACAAAACATGCTAAACAATCAACATGTTGCCATTTCTAATTCTGATAGCAGTCCGGTATTTACCATTTGAAATGAGCAATCAGTTTGAGACAGAGCGGCGTTGCTCAAGAAATACAATGTCACGCATAAGGTGGCCACACCTTATCATCCTCAAACGAGCGGGCAAGCCGAGGTTTCGAATAGGGAAATCAAGCAGATTCTTGAGAAGACCGTGGGGCCTACAAGGAAGGATTGGAGTTTGCGCTTAAACGATGCATTGTGGGCGTATCGCACTGCCTACAAAACCCCCATTGGGATGTCACCTTTTCGGCTCATCTATGGGAAGCCATGCCATCTTCTCGTCGAGTTAGAGCATCGTGCACACTGGGCCGTCAAAACGTTTAATATGGACCTTGATGCCGCAGGTTTACATAGGAAGCTCCAATTGTGTGAGCTTGAGGAAATCCGACATGAAGCTTATGAGAATGCCCGGATTTACAAGGAGAAGACGAAGGCATTCCATGACAAGATGATTCGTGCCAAGACGTTCTATATTAGGCAGAAAGTGTTGTTGTTCAATTCTCGCCTTCGGTTGTTTCCGGGTAAGTTGCGTTCCAAATGGGTTGGTCCTTTTATTGTCACTAATGTTTTCCCTCATGGTGCAGTGCAAATCAAGAGTTCAAGGACGCAGCAAGAATTCAAGGTGAACGGGCATTGATTAAAGCCCTATTACGAGATGTTTGAGGAGCATGTCGTGGAGAGGTACCCCTCCATGCCGTTGCACCTAGTCCAGCTTAAACGGAGGTACCGTCCGGCTGGAAGACGTTAAAGCAAGCGCTTCGTGGGAGGCAACCCATGCATTCGACAAAGGAAGACCTAGAGAGCACTCCAATTCCAGATTTGCGTTCCTAAACCCTTCTCTTTGTTGTTTATTTCGTTTCTGCCATGTTTAGTTTGTTTAGTGTTTGTTTGTTTTGTTTATGTGTTTTTGTGTGAGTCTATGCTTGAAACATTGAGGACAATGTTTGGTTTAAGTGTGGGGGGGTAACCAAAGTGTTTTGATGCAAATTCGTAGGGTTTTCTCACTCATACTTCCCAATGTTGTTTCTTGCTGTTTTAGGTGCTTTTAAGCTGTTTTGGTGTGTTTTAATGTGTTTTGATTCAAAAATTCGAAAATCCCATAAAAATTTGAAAATTTGTTTTAAAAAACCCAAAAAGAGTTGTTTTTGTGGTTGTTTGTGTCTTAGGGTACCTTCCAACACAATGATGAGGATTCGGTTTTTAATTGCATGACTGTTAAAGCGAGTTATAAACATGGATGAAAGTTTGATTTACTCTTGGTTTATGCTTGGTTGTGGTTATAACTTATGAATTCACATGTAATCATAAAGGAAAAAAATTAGTTTTTGTAACATGCTTGAAGGAAGGAACTCAAACTAACGCTACATCCCTGAGAGATTTGAGCCTAAACTTTATTTGGAGAGTTAAAATCTGTGCATTCTTGTTTTCTAAAGTCGTTGCATGATCTCATTATTCTTTGCTTGGTTGTTACTTAGAATGCGTTTCATCACTTTAGTTCCAAATGCTAGAACTCATGCCAATTTCATTCAAAACATTTCATTGAATTGCATAACACGTATTCAAGATGAAGTTGTTTAGTAGTACCACCATAGCCAAAAAGCCTTCATTCCATACATTTGTTTTGTAGGTTTTAGCCCCGTTGAGCCTTGTTTAGCCTATATTGTTTGTTAACCCACGTTATCCTTACCTAGCCTAGATTAGGACCATCCATACCCTTGTTCTTAAAGCATAGTAAGCATGACTTAAAATGAATTCCTTTTGATCAAGGGTGTGCAGAAAACAAGTGTGGGGGAATTTGAGCCTTGTGTATTGTGTGCCAAAGTCTTAAATGAGGCATGGGGTAGAAAAGAAAAGAAAAGAAAAAAAAATGTGAAAAGTGTGAAAAAGAGTTGAAAGAGCATGAAAATGAGCTCTAAGGTGTTGGTTGTTGAAGAATGGGTCCAAAACAGTGAATTTGACCCTAAGTGTTGCATGAATTTCCCCTTTGAGTTTAAAAGTTGATTTTTGCATTCAAAAGTGAATTCTAAGTGTCAATTTCATTGCTTTGCTTACTATTGTTTTAAGAACGTTTGTTTACCCTTCACCTTTCTTTGTTAGCCAATACCACAAGCCCCGTTACAACCCTTAACTTCTATCTTGAGTGTTGTGTATTTCAATTTGTGGAGTTTGGGATTGGTATGAGCATATGGTGTCACTGGTTCTCGCGTCTAAGTAGTAGCATTCCTTTCATGAGATCATATACATGCTTATTAAATTCAGAAAAAGCTTTCCTTGTTATAACATATGTGAGCATTCGTTTTCATATTTACATCAATCTTCTCACATATAACTAGTATAGGGTGTGTAGTCAGAAAATCTGTGTGAAAATTGAGTGCATATCTAGTGAGGATTTGAGCAAATTCTCTAAGGCATGTTACTACATTCAAAATCATGTTTTACTTGGTTAAATGTGAACTAGTACGTGGTAACTATAATTAAGTATGTGCTTAAGTGTAAAGATGGCTAAAAACTGTGGGAATGATGATTTTTAATTTGTCATGTGCATTGGAAATCCCTGAGGCAAATGTTGGAAGGTTTAGGTTGTTTTTGTTTGTTTTGTTTCATTTTGTTTCTTTTGTTTCTTTGTTTTGCTCGAGGACTAGCAAAAGCTAAGTGTGGGGGAATTTGATAGGAGCATATTTATGCACCTTAGTTAGCTAGTTCTTATGCATTTTCGTTATGTTTTCTTAGTTAAAGTAGTCTTTTGAGCTACTTTCATGCGTTTTCAGGTTCAAAGGGCATAATACATAAAAGTTGGCAAATTGGAGTTTTTAGAGCAAAAGTGAGCTTGGATTGAAAAGTACATGCTTGGAGCACAAGGAATGGACGAGTTTGAAGGTCAAGGGAGCGTAAGAAATGAAGAAATGAAAGTGAAGAACAAAGAAGTCGGAATTGGCAACTAAAGTTTCTAAAGTTGGAAGTTTCTATTCTTGGAGGTTTCCATTTTCGAGAGTTTCTATTCTTGGCTTTGGGCTTCTAGACGACCCATCCCTACCTCTTGGACAAGGCCGCACCCTCCTAGCCCAATTCATCTTGGATCCTCACTTAATGCCGCACCTAAACCCTAGCCCATTTCCAAATCTGATTTCCTTAATCTCTGCCGCACCTAGGGCCCCAAAATACCTGATTTCCTTGCCTTGCAAGGCATTCTAGAAGGCCCATCTCTAACCCTAATCTGATTGCTAGGGTTTGAAGTGCCTATATATACTCCTTTAAACCCTTTGGCCGAACCTACCACCCCCCATATCATCCATTCACTCCAGAAAATCATTCTAAACCCTTGCCGCAACCACCAATCCCATTCTCCCTAGTTCTAAGTCCTTGCCGTGCCTCCCTAGTCCTTTTAAACCCTTCTACCCTCTTCCATAATCATCCATCCACCACAGCCGTGCCTTCCCACCACCATCACCACCTTGTGCAGCCACCAAAGGAGGAGAAAGAAGGAGTGCCGTGCAGTCCAAAGGAAGGAGACACCTTGCACATGCAATCTGCCATTAGTGGAGTGTTTGGAGTTCTTTCTTTCTTTGTTTCTGTTTTCATGTTTAATTTACATTGTTGTTCAATTATGTTAGACATGTGGAACTAATTTCTTTTTAGTTAGAGGTGAATTTGAAGCCATGGACATATGTTTTATATGATTTGATTTCTTCCAATTATGATTTCAGAAATTGTGAATGTGATTTACTTATCTATTTGATTGATAACTTGTTTATGTATGTGGGTTGAGGGTCGACACTTAATTTGCATGCCTAAACTTGATGCTAGGATATAAGGGAATTTCACCTAATCGTTATTAACTTATATTCATAAGTAGTGAAAGTCGCTAGTCACGATTGCGTTAAGTAAATCCTAGGCAAGAGTAACATGCGTATCCCATAGTTATGAATGCCTCGTCAATGCTTATGATGTCCATTGAACTTAATGATCTTTGATATGTGTCTCTATCATGCGTATTCCATAGTTAGGGTCCTTGATAAGAATAATTTGGTTGTAATGCGTATTCCATTCAATTCAATGAATCTAGGGAAATCTGAGAATTAATTGGTGCAATCTAGTTAATTTGGGGCATTGTCATTCATGGTTTGTTGAAAGAGTAATTGGAGATTGAGTTGTATGCATATGTTCATGTGTGGATAAGGAACCCTCTAACTAGCTTCTCACCATTCTATTTAATCACAATCTGTTTTGCTTTACATTTGTTTTTAAAGTTTGAGTTTTAAAGTTTTAATTTCGTCAAAATCATTCCCCCATTTATTTTAAAGTGTTAGATTAGTTAGAAATCCATTTAGTTGTGTTTTTAAGTGTTTTGAGTCAAGTCATAGTCCAAATTCGTCCAAACTAGTGTTAGGTACTCAAAACTGCCCAGAAAGTGGTTTTAAGGCAGTTTTGAACCTTTTAGTTGCTGTTTTGAGTTTTTAGTTTGTTTAGGTGTTTTAAACTTTAGTTTTGCATTAATTGAGTCTAGTTTAGTGTTCTACATTATATTTTTTATGTTCTTGAGTCAGTTTTACATTGATTAGCATCCCTAGTTAATCCCCGGTCTAGAACGATCCCTATTTGCTCATATACTACAATTGTCATCCATAGGGTTTAATTTGTGTGTCAAGTTAATTTTCACATCAGAAACCCACGGTCTTCAGCTTTGTGAAGGAGCCGATTCAGATCTTCTTGATTTGGCTCTCGGAAGTACTCGTCTTTGTAAACCTGAACAATTGTGTTACAAAATTCTTCAAGAGTATTAAGGCATGTAGACTCAGACATACCATGGGTTTCATCCATCGAATCAGCTGAGGAGCCATATGCCATCATTCGGAGTGCAACAGTAACCTTCTGATGAGGTGAGAAACCAGGGCGGCCTGCTCTGTCCCGCTTCTGTCGAAAGTATGGATTGACCTGCTGGACATCACGAAGTAAACGCACGAAGACATGACGCCTCATCCGGAAGCGAAGTCTGAAATCCTCTTCTGTGTACACCGAGTTGAGGTTGAAGTAGTT